CAGACTTGAATTTTTCTTCCATAGATCCAATTGCAACTTCCAAAGCTAACTCTCTACATTTTCTTCACTAAAACTAACTATAGAATTGTAGAGTCGACTCTCTACACCAATTTTAGTATTTTTGATCCATTTTTTGTAACACCCCACATACCTTAGTGAATAATTTAAAAATTAGTGTCCTTTAGTTTATAATTTTAGGGATTAAATTGCTTGAATTTAAAAGTTTAAGGATTTTAAATAGAACTTAGCAGGAGTTGAATAACCTTAACTCAATTATCTCAATTTTTCTTACCACATGGCATTATCCCAACCAAGTTTTTTTTCCTTGTCGGTTGGGCTTGGATAAGCCTCCAGAAGGCTCCCAAAAGCCCCATTTTTTTTTATTTTGTCTTGCGCTTCTTTCTTCACCCAAGGTTAAGGTGTTTGTTTTAGGTAAGTATAAGTTTTTGTTATGAATTTGAGATTAGAGTTTTGGGTAATTTAAATTGATAAGATTTGACCCTAATCCTTTGGTTTATAAGATTTTTTTAGCATTAAAATTTCATTAGAAATATCGTTAATTTTGGGGTTTATATGGGAAAGACAGTGAGTTATTCCTTTTTATGTTTGATTTAAGTGTGAATTTTTATTTTTCGGAATTATAAGTAAATTGTACTGTTCATGGGTACTGTTTATGAATATTTTTTACATGTACGGTTTATATATACACTGTTTACGGGGTACGGTTTATGATTACTATTCATATAATACTGTTCATAAATCACTGTTCACGCACTTTGCTTTAATTTCTTTCAATAGGAAGTCCTAATATTATTTTGGACATATTCTGAATTTGTTTGACATGCGTATGTGTTTGTGATTATGGAATAAGTGAACCTAAACTTAAAGTTTAGGGTATTCAGTGGACCTTTCGAGGTAATTAGTGGACCTTTGCGCAGTAGCGTTAGTACTGTAATTAGCTCCGGTATAGTGTTACTAGCACAGATCAGTGGACTCCATAGCATTATGTGATTTTCGGTTGTATGCATTGCGCTTGTGATATCGTATTTGTAAGCATATGATTTTAGTATATGAATTTAATTTAAATGTCATTGATTATTCTTTGATATGTGTGAGTGAGTATGATTTGAGAATTATAATATTATGTGGTTGGATTTCGTTGTATCTCATACCCTTTGTGTGTATAGGTTTATGAGTATTAAGACCCAAGTTTATAGCTTAAACTTATTACCTACTGGACTTTTAGCTCATAAAATTCCCCTGCCATTTTAGATCAGTAAATCGAGATAGTAGCCTCTCGGTTTAGGAGCTTTTGGTACGGGACTCGCATGCTCGTTGTATGTACAAGTTAGGGCCTCGTGTTTTTGATGGGAAGGCAGATCGATATGTTACCAAAACAATGACTCAGTTTTTGTTCTTTTGAAAAGTTTTGGAGAAGAAATTTGCCTCATATAATTTTTGTGTAAATTACCTTTATGTACATAATATTTAAACTAATTATAAATGAGCTTAACTCAACTTATTTTATAACTTTGAATATTTTGGTATTTTTTCCAATCTATATATTGATTTTTTTTTTTTTTTGTTAAAGTGGGTTTCCTTTACAAGTTTTTTTTTTAACAAACATTTTATATCAAAAGTATTTTTACTTTCGCTGCAATTCTTACTATAAATCTTATTTCCGAACTCTTTTAAAACTAAACGTGCCTAGCGAGGTGTGTTATATTTTTAGTACTGTTCAAGTTCATTTACTTTTGTTATCTTTTAGGTGATAAACTACATACTTAGATAAACAAAATCACTCATTCAAATATGTTTTATAATCATCAAAATTATAAGTACAATATATTCTTTATTCTTTAATTATATTAATTCAACCAAAAAGTTTTGAGGTTGGAGTGCATATTTAATGTATAATTTGACATATAAATTTATTAAAATATTCTTAATAAATATCTTTTTTATATTATTTAATTAATAAAATTTTGATAATTTGAGTACTTATATTACACTTTATAATTTAATATGGAAAATATGAATCTCATCAAATAATGAATATTTGAATTAGTCATTTAAATACAACTAATAATTGATATTTAATTTAGATATTAATATTTATCAATTAAATTTGTAAAAAAAAAAATTAAGGTAGAAAAACACTTAAAACTACTCCTTCGACATTGTTCAAATTTTTATATGTATTTTTATGTTTACTTTTTATAATATATGAATGATAATTGAAATTTTTTATCAAATAAAACTATTTAACAAGAATAATTATAAAAAAGATTTAAATTACCATTTATGTCTTATAAGAAATATCAAGAAAATCAAATAATTTATATTTTGAAACAAAGGAAGTCCATCATCTTAATAAAATACCATAAAAAAACATTAATACTGTAATTACAGTGTCATGTAGGTTTATAAGTTTACAATTATAATATTTTTTTATAAAAAATCTAATTTAATAGAGGTTAAAAATACTATAATTTATATTTTAATTCATTAATGATGTTTAAAAAATTCCACAACTCATAATATTTCAAAATTTTAATTTCTTTAAATAAATTATATTTATATAAATTTATATAAAAATACATTTTTAAGATTATCAAAAAGAAATTAATCATAAAGGGATACTTTGTCTGTAAATAAAAAATATATATAAGAATAATAATTTCATAACCTGCACGGCACACAAAACTTAACGCTTGCTAAAATCTAAAGCAAACACCAACCAAAATGAAGGCTATTCCATGGGAAGCTGCACCCATGAATTGAATTCAAATCATACAAAAAAAACCCAAAAATACTCAATCCAAAAGTCCATATGGATTGCTGACACACCCATTTCCAGAAATGGAGGAAGAGCAAGAGCAGGAGCACCATGAACAGAAACGTAATCACCACCATCCCAGCATTATCCTCCACCATGGGAAGCTTCCCAAGCGGATAATCCTAGTGCGCCATGGAGAGTCGGAGGGGAACCTCGACAAGGCGGCGTACGCCACCATCCCCGATAACAAGATCCCACTTACCCCATTGGGAATTTCGCAAGCCCGTTCCACTGGGGCCCGTCTCTACGATCTCATCTCCCGCCACTCCTCCCCTAACTGGCGGGTCTACTTCTACGTCTCCCCTTACGAGCGCACCCGATCCACCCTCCGCGAGATCGGGCGGTCGTTTTCCAAGAGGCGTATAATCGGGGTTAGAGAGGAGAGTAGGGTGAGGGAACAGGACTTTGGGAACTTCCAGGTGCAGGAGAGTATGCCCGCTATCAAGGAGGCTCGTGAGAGGTTTGGTAGATTCTTTTATCGTTTTCCTGAAGGAGAATCCGCCGCCGATGTCTTTGACCGTGTCTCCAGTACGTTCTCCTTTCCCCTTCCTTGGTTTGAACCTGTTTCGTCTGCAATGCAGAAGCTTTTTTGTTCTTCCAATTTCTGGGTTGTTCTTACTATTTTTGGGTCTGATTAGAAATCTTGAAGCAATATCGATGGATTAGAATTCAGAAGAACTAGTTTGAAAAAAAAAAAAAAAACTTGCTGATTATTTGGAAGAAAAAGGAAATAAATTTCAAAACTTTGGTTTTTTTTTTTTTTTGGGTGTTTGAGAAGGAATCAAGGAATTTGGGGGACTAATGAATATATTTTGAGAATTTCGTTTATTGTCTGGCATGTTTTGCTTTAGTTAGTGAGCTTTTAAAAGTCTCAGTATGACATGAATTGGTTATGCTCAGAGTTCCAATAGTCTTCCATACTTATTTTGATGCCAAAGCTTATGCAGAAATTGTGAAAACAATTGCTCATTATTAGTGATATACTAAATACATAACAGATGGTTGTGATTCAGAATAGATTAGTTCATGGGAAGAATTTATAGTCCGCTTTTGTGTTCATTGCATCTAAAAATACCTTTCTTGGAAGGTAATTTATCCATGTAATTCAAAAACTTCGTGTAGATTCAATGAGTTACCAGGAATTTAGATTCAATGAGTTGACATGCATTTAAATTGCTTTTAAAATCACAAAGTTCAAAGTAAATATAACCATCAATTTCTGATTCTTACTTTTCAAATGGGTTGTGTTGTATAATTTGTTTCTTTCATGGCAAATCCTTGGTTTCTTCCTTGTCATGTTGTGCTTAATGTTATTAATTTTTTATCTTGAATCAAATTTGGAAATCAGGGCTTGCTTGTGCTTAATTGCAATCAAATGGTTTGAATTTTTGTATTTTTGTAGTGGGGGAACTTAGTGGAGAATGAAACTGGATTTGCAGGTTTTCTTGAATCTCTTTGGAGAGACATAGACTTTAACAGGCTTCACAGTGATCCTGCTGAAGACCTAAATCTTATAATCATATCTCACGGGCTGACATCCCGGGTCTTTCTAATGAAGTGGTTCAAGTGGACGGTGGAGCAATTTGAGCGTTTAAACAATCTTGGGAACTGTGAGATTCGAGTTATGGAACTGGGACACGGTGGTGAATACAGCTTGGCTGTCTACCACACAGTCGAAGAATTGCAAGAATGGGGGTTGTCACAAGAAATGATAGAAGACCAGAAATGGCGAGTCCAAGCCACCAGGGGTGCCTGGAATGAACACTGTCCCTGGTATCTTGACGAGTTTTTTGACAACTTACTTGAAACATCAGAGGATGAAGACAAACCTCTGGATGAAGAAGAACATATATCATTATCGGAAACATCAAACAATGAAGGTAATTTTGATGATGAACAATAGATACCAACATATTCTTTGACAATACATGCACAGTCGCCTCAGAAATTCTTTTGATTAAATTTGTAATGATAGCAGCTTGTCATTAATAGAAGATTTAGACGGTTCTCATTCTCATGGAAGATCAAACATGTAGGTTGTAGTTGTAGATATTAACGTGATAAAGATTTGTGAGATTGATTCATATTTTTGGATGAAGCAAAAATGAAGATTTGTTTGGAATTGTTTCTGTGCAGCTCATTACTGTATATAATGACAGTTGAATACTTTATTGGAACTCTTCCTAACAACGAAGCTCAGTTCTTCAAGTCAAATATATACTATCCAAGACAGCAAATCCAGGTAAAATTCCACCTTCATTCGATGATGATATCTTGGTTCGCACCAAGTAACCACATTGGTCATTCACTAGCACCTTCTCCTTGTTCCTGAAAATGCCAGCCAAAGAGAATGAGGTTCATCCCACAATGAGAATTAGTAAGAGGAAAGTGCAATTTCCAAGGTAAACCTACAGGGAGAAATTAAAATGCATGCAAAAATCAGTTCAAAATAATTGTCCTCGCTATCCCCTCCACCATCATTGTGGTTGTGGTGGGGGCATAGATGGCCAAATTA